TATATGTATATATGTATATATGTATATATGTATATATGTATATATGTATATATGTATATATGTATATATGTATATATGTATATATGTATATATGTATATATGTATATATGTACTAATATATGTATATATGTACTAATATATGTATATATGTATATATGTATATATGTACGAATATATGTATATATGTACGAATATATGTATATATGTACGAATATATGTATATATGTACGAATATATGAAAGTATGAATGTATGAAAGTATGAATGTATGAAAGTATGAATGTATGAAAGTATGAATGTATGAAAGTATGAATGTATGAAAGTATGAATGTATGAATGTATGAAAGTATGAATGTATGAAAGTATGAATGTATGAAAGTATGAATGTATGAAAGTATGAATGTATGAAAGTATGAATGTATGAAAGTATGAATGTATGAAAGTATGAATGTATGAAAGTATGAATGTATGAAAGTATGAATGTATGAAAGTATGAATGTATGAAAGTATGAATGTATGAAAGTATGAATGTATGAAAGTATGAATGTATGCATTTATGTATGCATGTATGTATGCACATACGCACGCACATGCACTCACACACACACACACACACACACACACACACACACACACACACACACACCACACACACACACACCACACACACACACACACATACACATATACACACACACACACACCACACACACACACACACACACACACACACCACACACACACACACACACACACACACCACACACACACACACATACACATATACACACACACACACACACACACACACACACACACACCACACACACACACACACACACACCACACACACACACACACCACACACACACACATACACATATACACACACACACACACACACCACACACACACACACCACACACACACACACCACACACACACACACCACACACACACACACCACACACACACACACACCACACACACACACACACCACACACACACACACCACACACACACACACCACACACACACACACCACACACACACACACACACACCACACACACACACACATACACATATACACACACACACACACACACACCACACACACACACACACACACACACACACACACCACACACACACACACACGCGAGAGAGAGAGAGAGAGAGAGAGGGAGTGACAGACAGACAGACAAAGAGACAGAGGGAGACGGACAGACAAACAGATGACAGAAATACAGACAATCCGAACGCAAGAGAAACAGAAATAAACGCAGAGAGAAAGCGAAAATAAAAGAGATCGAAAGTGGGCACAAGAGTAAAACAAAACAAAACAAAACAAAACAAAACACGAGAAAAAGAGAAAATTAAAAATAAAACAAAACTAAAAAAACAACAACATAACAGCGGCCGATTCCTTAGCATTAACTAGTCACAACCGAAACTATCCGGTTATCGGGAAAGTATTCAGTTACCGAGTCTCCTTTCAGGTTAAAGAGTGTAAACATGATCTTATGTTTTTGCTGGCATTTCGGTCTTTGTTGTTATTGGTCCCTTTTTTGTTCTCAGCCTTTATCTCTCTTTCTCTTTCTTCCTTTTCCTTTCTTCATTTCTTTGTTTCTCTGTTTCTCTCTGTTTCTTTCTGTCTCTGTCTCTGTCTCTGTCTCTGTCTCTGTCTCTCTCCCTCTCCTTCTCCTTCTCCCTCTCCCTCTCCCCCTCTCCCCCCCTCTCCCTCCCTCCCTCCCTTCCTCCCTCCCTCCCTCCCTCCCTCCCTCTCTCCCTCTCTCTCTCTCTAATAGATTTGTTTGCCTCTCTCTTTGTTTGTATGTGTTTGGTAATTTCTCTCTCTCTCTCTCTCTCTCTCTCTCTCTCTCTCTCTCTCTCTCTCTCTCTCTCTCTCTCTCTCTCTCTCTTCCTCCTCTTCATCTTCATTTCCATCTTCATTCTCATATCCATCTTCACTTTCACCCTGGAGAATAACACTAACAAAAACACCAACCATAATAATAATACCACCAATTCCAACGACAACCACAATACCAATAAAATACGGACAACGACAACAATAAAAATCCGAAAAAGGTTATCTGAAAGCACCTCAAGCATCTATCTCCCTCTCAGTGTCAGTCAAGCGGTCACGACACGCTGGGAGAAGTGGCCTGTGTCTGCGATGGCACCGATAACAGCTGATAAAGTCCGGAAGATAAGAAGATACGGAGGTACTAAGGTTTGGAGTTCCAGCGACGGGGAAAGAGAGAGAGAGAGAGAGAGAGGGTTGGAGGGGGAGAAGGGGTGGGAGAGAGAGGGAATGGGGGGGGGAGGGAAGGAGGGAGGGAAGGAGGGAGGGAAGGACAGGGAAGGAGGGAGGGAAGGACAGAGAGAGAGAGAGAGAGAGAGAGAGAGAGAGAGAGAGAGAGAGAGAGAGAGAGAGGGTTGGAGGGGGAGAAGGGGTGGGAGAGAGAGGGAATGGGGGGGGAGGGAAGGAGGGAGGGAAGGAGGGAGGGAAGGACAGGGAAGGAGGGAGGGAAGGACAGAGAGAGAGAGAGAGAGAGAGAGAGAGAGAGAGAGAGAGAGAGAGAGAGAGAGAGAGAGAGAGAGAGAGAGAGAGAGAGAGAGAGGGTTGGAGGG